TGAGTGAGGCACTCGCCTCAGGCGCAGCTGAGAGGGGGTCGTAGCCAGGGCCGGCCTGGCTGTGCCCCTTGTGCCAAGGTGAGCACAGGGCGTCATTGGCAACAGGGGCGCCATTGGCAACAGGGGCGCCAGGCGGTTAACACAGCCACGGCTCAGCAGGGAGAAAAGGAGCGACATAGGCTTCAGCTTCTCCTCGGATCCCACTACTGTCCCCTGCCTCTAAGGGCAGAGGACTCAGTGTTCTCAATCTCTTTTTCTATTTAGACCCCTGATATTTCCCCGAAGCCCCCCAACAGTAAAAATAAATAATAAAATAACAAATAAATAATAAAAATACAAAAACACCCCACACACACACTCTCATGCACACATACTGTATTATTAGACAAATGCAAAGACTAAAAATGTATTTCGGACTAAATGAACCTAATACAGTGGCCAGTAAGTGTATTTTATTTTAATGTTTAAATTAATACAGGTATAAGGGTTATTGAAGCACAGTTCATCCTTATTGATATTGTGTATTCTATATGTATCTATATACACCCGCACTGAGTGACTTTAGAGGTGCACTCAGGGCAAGAGGAGAAATGACAAGGCTCAGTATACACATCTTACAGTGTAGAACTGTATTCTTCAACTGTATGATTAGCACTTGTCCAAATATCTGAGGGAACAAGCTAATTACAGATCCAAATTACACATTTCTACAGTAACTAGTCTACTTTCACACAGTGATTAGTAATGCTGAATTTTCCATGTTATTTACATGCTACACAGCGCACCATGTCTGACTTGTAATTATGTTGGAAATATGCTGCAAACAGGGTAACATGCAGCATTTATTTCACATAAATACTCCAGCTCTTTGTTACAAGTGGATTTACAAAACATCTGAAATCCAAGTCAGTGAAGGTTATGATTTCAGCATAGAGCAGCTGAAGTCTCATCTGCAGTGTTCACCCTGAAGCAGGTTTGCATTGTAAACATCTAGCTCAGCTCTGTCTGCCACGCAAGGAAAATCACATTCAGACAACCCTAACCCAAAATCCTGCACAACGTAACAAAAGATGGCTATGGCATTTATGAAATCTTATATACTGTTGCAACCTAAGTAAATTATCATAGCCAATCCAAGTAGACATCACCCTGTGAAATACTGTGCACAGTAACTGACGCACAGTGAAGCAGCACTCAATACATACATATACATACATACATACATATTGTAGGAACACTTTAGGCAATTCACAACATTTGTTAATAAAGCAAAATACATTTAACTTCTGTGTGCTAAGTCGTTCTGAATAAAGGAAGGCATTGCACACAATGCAATTTGATCTAGCCATGGCCCTTCTCAGATTTCACATCATTCATTGACATTTTTCTAATAAGAAACTTTCAATCAGTAGTGCAGAAATAAATAATTTTCAGTGCTGGAAGTTAGAAAAAACAAACAGATTGTTGTGTCTCACAAATGATGTGCTATTGTGCTTTATTGTATAACATTGTATGTTAATACAGTGGTATCTACTGACATCTTGTGGATAGTATGTTATCACATCAACTTGTTTATTTGAACATTTAGTATGTTCTTCTGTCCCCCCTCCTGTTTTATATTTAACTAGTGCAGTCTTTAACTCGACACTTCCTGCTCTCATAATTTGTCCGTTCGTTTTAGTTTCATTGCAGACTTACGGCTTAGAAAGTAATCATCCTACATTTCAAAAAACTCTAAAAATAGTTTTATAAACTAAAACTGCAATGGATTCAACTGCCTTATTGAAGAGCTAAGCTATCTGTGTATTCTGCTGAGTCAGCAAGTGGCCATACTATCTATACAGAGTGGGATCTAAAGAGGTACCGTATATCAGTGCATAAAGCAGCATTTGAAACCGAATACACTGATGAAGTTTATCTTTGAACTAACTCCCCACTGGAATGCTATACCTGGATGCGCTTGAGTTAGTTGACATTTCTTGCACATTTGCTGTAGTGTTCAATATATATATATCAAGTATATCATTTTTAGAAACATTAGTTTCTGAATCAGTATGTGTGTTATTATTACATCTTTTATATTTGATCAGCACTCCTTTAAAAGCAATATTTCTAAAACACATGCTTTGAAATACTTTTTTGGGAAATTGATGCATATGTATAGCCAGAACTGTTTTTTAGTTTAGCTTTTGGATAGAGTATGGTAGAGTTAAAATAGTTGTCAGTTTACTTTTTAAACTCTTTTGGTTTCTTTAGTCCCTGTTCTGCAGACTCAACATAAGGTTGGAGGAAATCTCTATAAAGTAAGGGGAATTTCCTAGACAGTTGTCCGAGCAACTATACCCATTTTAAGATTTCCTCTCACATCTTGTTGTAAAACTTGGGATTTACTATCACTTTTTGCAATGGTCACTAGATCAAATGGTGAAACTATCTATTGGGGTCACAGTCAACAAGAATTATGTAGAGGTTCTAACTCTTCTCAACTCTATCTAATACTAAAATAAGAAAGTTTGCCTGTACAGACAATTTAAATATTTTCTTTAAAATGTTTAAGATGAAGATAAGTAATACACTTGGATATCCATTATTGGCAACATTACTTAGTGGAAAACCAAACTTAAGAGGACCACAGTCTTGCTTTAATGTAAAAGGACGATGTGGGAGCGGGGTGGGGGTTCAGATTACAGACTGTTCTTCTAGCAAATCTGAGTACAAAGTTTGATTGCTCTAAACTGACCACTTTACTTCTCATACCATAGTTCACTCTTTACTGCATTATTGGCTTGCAACAATCTTTAATACAGGCTAAATTGTCCTAGCCTAGTTGAAGACAGGCTGTACAATGATGTAACGCATAGATCCCCATCCTCTATCAGCTTGTAATCTACATTCAAATATAAGACCCTAAAGTAAGTCACAATGGGCGTAATAAAATAGGACTCAAAACTTCTTAGTAACATTTTGCAGAAGACCTTCAGCTATACAACCACTGACCTTCTTAGATGATGCTGTGTACCTTCTAAGATCCATTTGTGTCTCATAAGCCACTAACTGAGACCATCAAGTTAATGTCTTTCATTCCTACACTATGGATAGTGTGTCCAGACGAGCATTGATCTGTGTAGGAAGACTTGTACCTTACCTGTACCCTTATGTGTGAAACTATCAACATCACCTCCTTTTTACCCATAATCTAATTGTACAGCTGATATGGTATAAGGGAGCTGGCACATTAGAAGAGGCTGCTCATAGGTTACATCTAGCACAAGCCATTCCCACATTATAAGAGATGATGAGGATTGCTGACACATTACAAGAAATGTCTAAAGACTGCTGGCATGCTAAACGAGACTGCTTAAAGGACAACTTCACATTTAGTGAAGTTGCTGCTTAATAGATGTCAGAGAGTGTAGTCCAACTGGGATAATACTTATCTTCCTCTCCAATCCAGCAAACTTTCCTCTGTCTGGGACTTGGAGGAAAGATTACTGGATTAGGGAGCAAGTAAATATTATCCCAGTTGGGCTGCACTAAAGAGGACGGGGTGTTTAGAGTGACACTATACTCAAGTGTTCGACCTTAAAAATGCATTCAAGTACCTTAACTATTAACAAAATGTTATCTTATTTGTGTATCACTCGGCTGTAGATCCTCAAATCATCTCTGAATTGGTGCTGACACTGTCTTTCCTTCTGAAGGGTGGCTACTTTTGTTACCCATGGTCCCTGTGTGTGTTGTAAAGTAGCCACCGCTCCAAGAATCACATACTGTGCATTTTTTTTCTGCATGACATTGGATAGATTTCCACACACCAGGAAGTAAGAAAAAATGTCTCCAAAGTAAGGGAATCCACTTTTTGACACTACAATCCACTTTTTTTGTCCCATTTGAAAGATTTCCCCTTTATTCCTGGTGACAACTCAAAATATTGAAATTGTCCTCACTTTGTCAGTGGTCACCAGAAGGTGCATCACCCCATCAAATACACTTTAACAATTTACAATAGACCATTCTGTTCCTGTTCATTATTGAGATTTCAAAATTATTCCAGGATTGTTTTTTGCAATCAAGATTAGGGATGCACTGATACTGGTTTTTCGGTATCGAGTACCAATATTTTTTTTGGTACTCGCCAATACCGAATACCGATACTGGAATTCCCATTAAGGAAGTCGGGTGGCGTGTAATGACTCGCGACCTTGCTTACTGATTAGCCGGGAAGCCGTTCTCCATCCTCTCTTGTCACCAGGTGACGAGGAAGCGTGGAGCTGGCTTTCTGGCCAATCAGAAAGCCGGGGGGCGGCTAATGACCTTGTCTTTGTGTCTGGCCAATCAGAAAGCCGGGGGGACTCCCTTCCCGACCAATCAAGAAGCCGGGCGGCAAATCATTATACGGTTCCAGGCTTCTTGCTGGGCCGGGAAGCCGGCTCCAGGCTCCCTCATCACCAAGTGACGGGGGAACATGGAACCCGCTTCCTGACCTATCAGGAAGTAGGGGGGGGTGAGTCATTACCCGCCCCCTGGCTTCCTGATCGTCCAGGAAGCCAGCTCCATGCTCCTCGGTGATGAGGGAGCATGGAGCCAGCTTCCTGGCCAATCAGGCAGCTGGGCAGCATGTAATGACTCGCTGCCCTGCTTATTTATACCGTAAGTTCTGGTATTGGGATAGGCACCTGGAGCATTTGGGAGAGTATGAGCATGCGCCCAAATATTCATTATTGGGACAGATACAGATACTAATATTGGTATCGGTGCATCCCTAGTCAAAATGTATGTGTGTACACATATGTAAATGTTCCACTATGCTCGGCTTACCATTCTTTGTGTTTGTCTTAGTCTATGATATATTCTGCAAACTGCTGTAATGCATCAGCAGGTTTGATGGAGCCCGTTATAATCCATATCCATAAACTGTATTTGAAATAAGACAGACACAACGTACATTTTAGATAATATTTATTCAAGCAGCAATCCATATAACCATTTCTTTCTCATTACAGAAGTAGGGAGCTTATTATACATGTCCTATATTAATATAGTTAAACAATGGTATTATACAAGCTAACCTAACAATGTAACCACAGAAATTACCAGTTTAAATGATTACATTGTAATGTCCGGGAATAAAAAGTCATCAATCTTGAGTGGGTTCCAGACCCACATTTGGGGCAGTTTAAATTTGTACACATTTCTTAACCTGTACCAGCTGTGTTTTTTTATTTTTTTTTATGTTTTTGCTATTCATTTAGCATGGGCTGATGATGCGATATCCTGACAACCATGTAAATTATGCAAGAAAACCATGTCTTTGACTATTCCCTTCACAGACTGCACAGATGCAAATATTTCAAGGTTAGTTGAAATTAAGTCTATAAAAAAACAGACTAGGAACAGTCAGTTTAAGCAGGTCAAGTGATGGAAACTATACTCTGCTATTGTTTTATGTTCGTTGCAGCTTATAGTAAGATAGAAATACTTTAACAAAGATATCCTTTTGTTGTCTTGTATTTAGGGGTATTCATTTCCGAGCCATATTTCACAGGCATTTCCATTCCATCCTTCCCAGCATTCACAGTTGCCACAGTTACATATTCCGTTGCCTAAAAACAAATTGAATAGGAGTTTAATTGTCACAATCAAAATGTGCTACTTCAAATGGCTTATTAAAAAGTAGCAGGTCATAATCAAAACCCTATAACTGGTCACCTAAATATTCCCTTTTATGTGGAGCACTTTGCATTTGATTTAGCAGCCTGTGGAAATATAGACTTTCAGCCAACTAATAGCATCTTTTCAGCAGTGCTCTTAGCAAAGTGCTATGCCACACACTATAATCATGCTGTCTTTTATTCCTCACAAGCATTATACTAGGTTAGATGGCTACATTGCTGTACTCATCCGCACTGGCTGCACCTGAAGACTGAAAATAACCCCTTCTGCTGCTCCAGGCTACGTTTTCAAAGTTGCCCATGTTTTTACATTTAAATCAGCAGCTAAGGACCTGTCATATGATATAGCTGCCACCTTTTTGTATCTTACGCAGATGGCGAGGCATTTAAATGTGTACTGTGCTGTTGAAATTACCCATTTTGTCAATATCAAATTAGCTGCCCCTGATTATGGCTGGGATCACACAAGAGAAGTATGTGCCTCCGATACTAGAGGTAAGAAGGTGTCGCATAAATGCTGTAGGCCTGATTTCCACTGCCATCTTCAGATCAGTGAAGCACATTTCACAATATGCCTTTACGTAAAAAAAAAAAAAATTGCCATGAAAAGCAATATGAGAGTACTCCCACTAGTACTGAATTGAACAATAAGGCCATTGCCTCATGCTTGCAATGGCAGCAAACATGCATTCCTCATCTGAAGGACATATTGCCTGAAACTGGACTTTTCTTCTACATAATCTATGCCTTTTATTATTTAAAATCTGTGTTTTTCATTTTTTTTAAACTATATCTCCCTTTATGTCAGTCACTGTTAAAGCTGAACTGAAGGCAATATGCTAAATACACAAATTAATTTTATATATATATATATATATATGAGAGCCAGGGCCATGCCGGGGACAGATCCGTCTGCTGTTAGTTGCTATGATGCTGTTGGCGGGGCTGCATAGCTTAATTGGTTGCTGGGATACTGGAGACAGGGCCACACAGTGAATTTCGAACAGAATGCAGGTGTCTGAGCATACACAGGGCAAGTGTGCCTTCAATCATGTGTGATATACGAAGTGGCTGGACAGAGAGCTCCGTAATGCTGAGCCTGTCATTTTATCAGGCTCAGTGTTAAGGTGCCCATACATCTGATGATTATCGTACGATAATTGTGGGTGATCCCGCAATCGTATGATAATCGTAAGGTTGATGGGCAGCGTGCGACCGCATTTACTGTATGGTCGTACGATTTTCGTATAACGAGCACGCTAGAAAACCCGCAGAAAATTGTACGATTTTCGGCGGGTTGGTAGCATGATCGCAAGATGAAAGCCGCACAGCCCGAGGTGCGCAAGCGCACACTGCCCGCTCACCATTGAAATGATCTGCAAGCCCTACCCTCAGTGAGGAGGACTTGCGATGATCGCAAGTATGATCTGCCTGTCCATGATGGGCAGGTCGTACAAACTTTTAATACCATACAACCATTGCACAACAAAAGTCGTGCAATGGTTGTAAGGTGTATGGCCACCTTTACTGAACACTCTCGACACTCCCCACAGTGCTTCCCTAAGTGCCAATGGCCCCTTCAATTGGCCTCATTGGTGGAATGGTCCTGGAGGGAACTGTTTTACCTTCCAAACTATTCCAATTTTTTTATTTACACAGCTCTGCCATACAGTACAGCCCTCTCTGGCAGGACAGGAGACCTGTTTTTATTCCGCTGCTGTATTTTTAAAATAACGACAAATACATCTTCATAATTCTTTAGTAATGACAATCTACAAACACATACTTATAGATCATTGCATACCTTATTTCCCTTTTCTTTCCCACTCTTCTGACTAGGCCTCTCAATACTTCCTGGAACTCTGGCACATGTGACTAGGACCATGCACATCATCTCAGAGGAGGAAAATGCATTTCCCTCCTGATGTAACGTTCCCAGGATGCAACGCTTGGGTACAGATTGCATCATCTGGTCCAAAATGGACCAGGAAGTAGATAAACTCTATTTGTAAGTAAATGAAAAACATGTTTGTTTAACCACTTCCCGGCCGGCTGTTGTAAAAAAACGGCCGGCCAGGAGCTCTCTAGATCTGAGCGGGCGTCTTTAGACGTCCGCTCAGCCACGCCCACTCGCGCGCCGCTGGGCGTGCTCGAGCGGCAAATGCCGATATTTGAAAACAGGCAGCAATGCCCGTTAATATACAAGCAATCCGCCGGCTATAGAGCCGGCGGATCGCTTGTATGAGGTCCCGGGATGTGCGCCCCTCTGCGCCTCCCCCCCTCCCGCTGTCACGCTGGTCCCGGACTCCGCTGTGCCAAGTGCGAGCCCGGGACCAGCATACTGCCTCTGTCACAGGGGATCAGAGGGAGGTCGGTACACAACCTCCCTCCGGTCCCCTCTCCGCTGTCAGAAAACGAAACTGATGTATATTACATCACTTCCGCATTCTTGTGTCACTCTCCAACTTCAGATGCTGGAGAGAAGCTATTGAAGCAGATCTGTGCTTCATCAGCTTCTTCAGGGGGGTCCTAGGTGACATTAGGGGTCTTGGAGACCCCTGATGTCTCCATAAAGAGGACCTGTCACATATTTTGCTATCACATAAGGGGGTTTTCTTAGCCCCCTATGTGATAGCAATAAAGTTAAGTGGAAAAAAAAATAGGAAAAAAAAATTAAGTTTCCCCCCAAAAAATGTAAAGTTACAAATAAAAAAGAATTACATTTTTAAATTTTTTTTTAAAACCTCCCCCACATACATACACGCATGCAAACAGGCGTCGGGTGCGCATACCTGCGAAAACGACGATTTCGCCCATTACGCCGCAGATGTTACATATCGTCGCGAACGTCGGAATGAGAGCAAGAGTTCTAGGGCCATCAATCACTGATAACACTAAACTGATGAGCTGTAAAAGCTTTTAAAGCGTCGCCTATGGTCAATTTTGGGTATGGTAGTTTTTTGCGACTTCGCGGGTGCGCGCAATTTTAAAGCATGACCTGTTTGGTGTCTATTTACCCGACGTGACCCCGTCTTTTATATTTTACCAAAAATATGGGTAATAATCATTATTTCCTAAAATATTATTTTAGTTAAAACTTTTTTCCCCAAAATTTTCTATAATTTCCCCTTAATATAGTAAAAAATAAAACCCCCAGTGGTGGTTCAATACCACCAAAAGAAAGCTCTATCGGTCCCCAAAAAATGGTATAAAATTAATTTCAGTACAGCGTTGCATGACGGAATAAACGTCAATCAAAGTACCGCAGCGCTGAATACTGAAAAATGGCCTGGCCAGGAAGGGGGTAAACCTGGTCTTGAAGTGGTTAACTAATGAATGTAAGATGATTTTAAATCAGTATGCAGAGCTGCATGATGATGTGATTTTTAATGAAAGGCGGTAAAGGTCCACTTTAAGCAACACTTAAGGTCTTGTCCCTCTGCAGCCTGTGGCTGGACAGTAAAAAGAGAAGCAGCAGACTGATGAGCTCATCACTTTTTCACTCTGTTCTCTCCTATCAGCATGTTCCTTGCATTGTTGCACAACTGATTGGCTCCTTGTGCTGCATATCCTTTAGCAGGAGGCTAATACTAGGCCAAATGTAGATACTTAAAACAACACATTTAATGATATATTAATGAATACCGAAATGTATCAAAGTGACATTAAATTCAAAAGGTTTTTAAACTGTTTCAAAAGCTGATTAAATCACTTGCAATGGATACTGCTCCTTGATGTTTAAAAGTTTTAATTTCCACAGAATCAGCTGTTCCTTGAGCAGTGGCCCTGACATCCTGTTTTGGAGTGACTCCTTTCCCTTGCAAGGTCCTATTGAGCCACCCTTGTGTGTGCTACTAAGCTGTGTGTCTCCACAAACACACAGGCACAGCAAAGCAAGACTATCCCCTCCTCCCCGCTCTTCCTCCCTCCTCCCTTTTCCAAGCCAGAAGGTGGGCAGATGCTGTGATCTTGTGATCTTGTACTGGTTTGGAAGTTCAGGGAAGCGGAGCTGAAAGAGTCGGAGCTAGCTGTTAGGAAATATGAATGTAAGCACTTGGGCAAACATTTAATTAAACAGTTTGCAGGGCAATGTATATTAGTTTGATGTTGTATTCATTATTATAAAAAAAAGTTTGAGAGTTTAATACTACTTTAACTTGTGTCATTTACATTTGCCTAGTTTTCAGTTTTAACAAGACACTTTTATGTGTCAGGTTATTTTGGGTACCCCTAAGGTGTACATATTCAAATACCACCTAGTTATTTACAAATAATTTCTAAGCGTTACAATATAATGCATTGTTTGGGGGAACAGTGTTATTTGGAATTTATATCATAATGCAAAGATAAGCCGCGGACCTGCCAGAAGTAATTCTGATGATGCATGTGGTGCTCGCGGAAGAACTGCTATAAACATCTACAAGGTACAACAGGAAGGTGTGTCTGTTCATAATTACATCATATAAAAAAGTCACCAGCACACCAACTGTGATATATCTTCATCCTTCATTGATGAGAATAGAACATTTTACAAACCATATGATGTTTCTGGACAACAACAGGTCTCTTCATCAGGCAAACATTGTGTGTATGCTTGTGATATGGCCTATTTGCATCAATAAAGGGCAAATATCTATCACAGTTGGTGTGTCGGTGACTTTTCTTTATTATGTTGATGTTGCACTTGTCACTGCAGCACCCACCTCGACGGGATGCCGGTCAGGAGTGCAATGAGACACGTGCAATAGTGCAAATCTTTGCATAACTAAACATGCCGGGCTGCTACAGCTATATACTTCCATCTCCTCTTATTTGTGTATAAATATTCACATATTTTTGGGAACGAAAAACTGCTTTTTTTATATAGAGCATGCCCATTGGAGTCTTACGTTATTGGCAGATTGTTCATTATTGCATGACAAGCCTACTTTAAGGGCTCCTTTGTCTTCTTACAGGCTGCATGAGCTAACTGCCCTATATAAGAAAGATGACTTATTAATATGTAAAGTGTTAAGTGGCCATGGGGCTAGGCAGGTTTCCAAGTCTAATGGAAAATATGACATGCCTGCTGAAAGACCAGATAAAAATATTTTAACTGTTTCAAATATCTTCGAGAATATCAAAAAACATTGTCACCTATTCAAGGGAATAAAACATGATGGCATCGTGCTTTATAGCAAATCATATGAAATAATCTAGACAAGGTTGTATTTTGTGGTAAAACAGAGCTTTTCATACAGAATATTTATGTGTTGCTGAAGAATAACAAATAAAAGAGCAAGGATGTGTAGAAGAGTCTATTTTTGACAAGCACTTTGATCGTATCTAACATTCTGTTTACCTGTGCAAATAAGGCCATCATGTTTGTCGCAGTCCCTGTCATCACATTCACAGAATTCCCCTGAAACATACCAGTCCTGTGGTGAACAGATGCACTTTCCACAGTGACAGGAACCTGAAAACACAAACACCGGTTACTTGAAGAGGCAGCATAGCTGAGCAAATCAACAAAAGATGTGTTAATTGAAAATAGCAAAATGCATTCCATTATTCAAGCACTGTATAACAGAATGTGGCTGATTTATTAGGAAATAAAGATTGTAGCTGTTGCCTTTAGCAATAAGGTCACAGAAGACTAGAGTTGTTACATGTAGCAGTGATTGTATAGTGCTGCTTAAGGGTCAGTCCAGTAAAAACTTACCAGTATATTTTTTTTTTGGTTGATGCTAGACAAGACTAGTATACCACCTGACTTTTTCTTATATCCTTGGGGACTTTATTGGCATTGACTACATTAACCAGCCTCAATGTGCAATGGGCCAAACAATCTTGCTCAGTACATTCAGATGTGGCCACCATGCAGGCTGTAAAACAGCCTCGTGGTTATTTTAGTGTGGTTTTCCGTATGCACAAAAATGGACGGGTTGCCTTTTCTGTTTAGCTTGCTTTATTTGGTGTGGGGACACACTGGGGGTTTTCTGACATTGTGACGTTATGGGCTGCCTCTGGCATACCTGTTCTCAATATATCCATTACAATATATGCTCAAAGATGGAGGCTCTCATAGATTAGAATTAGGATCACACTACACATAGGAGCCTTGATAAGGCAGTGTGGCTTCCATCAGGGTTATTCACAAAAGGGTGAAGAGTTTGGAGAAGGGAGGAGAAGTGAACATTCTAGGACAACATAGATGATTTGGAAAAATTCTCCAATTGACTGTCAGATCAGCAATGTTGTTCTAGATTGTTCACTTTGGCTGCCTTTTCCAAACTCTTCCCCCTTTTGTGAATAACCCTGCATATGTTTGCAAATATGATGCAACGAAAACCACTGTTTTTAACCCTAATAGTTAGTCAGTGTTATTTGTTTTTTTGAAGGCTAGCTGGCATGTGTACTGGGTAATTTTTGTGTTTGCACTGTGCAATGCCTTTCCATGTGCACCTTACTTTAAAAGATAGTTATACATTTATTGGTGCGGTTGTCATTTCTGTTTAGCTTATGTGGTTATTTGTCAGCATGTGTATAGGTAACTTCACTGTGCAAAAGAGATTTTCTCTCATTTATTTGGTGGTCGATTTTCCCCTTCAAAGTGAAAATGCGCCCAAAGAAAAAAAGAAGGGGTCAGCTTCCAGCATACAGCTGCTAGGAACATGGGGACAGCAACAGTATAAATAGAAACTGCAGTTACTGCAACTGCCTTAAAATGAACCACTCTCAGGAGGGGGTTTGGTTCCTCCAGGTCTTGTGCATTGCTAGGAGCTAATGGTCTATACATATGGTATTTACCATACTGCCAATCACCAGTATCATTTGTATCATCTACTGAACACAAATGTATGCCTGCACAGTAAACCTAAGGGTTTAAGTTGAGTATCGGTTAGATCTTTTTTCCCCACAACAATCTATTGAATTTACTTTTATTTATTTAAGAGACATAGGGGGACCATAAACAGGAAAACTGTGTAGGCAAATAGGAAAACTCAGGTGATAACTGTCATAGCTTTCAGTGTGCTTATTTCAGCTTTCAACTGAAGTTTCAAGCCCTCAAATGGCTGGTGTCATAGCTGGTCATTAGTAAAGCACCATGGCAACTCTAAATAAAGGCTAATTTAGTTTTATTACTGCAAAGGATTGGATGGTTTTGTTTTGCTTTTTGACTGTGAAGTACTACTGAAGCTGCACCACAATGGTTGTTGGCTACTCATTACAATGCTATGTATATGTAGTGTGAAAGGGACTTTACTGTAGAAAAAACAACATATTAATTCTTAGAGAAAACTTGTTTGGCTAACCTCATGCATTGATCAGTCACCCAGCATTTAAAACTACATGGCTTCTAGTGACTCTTTCTATTTCTTTTGGTATTCCCTTTTGGGAAAAAAAAACTGTTTCTCTTTTTTTCTGCTTTAACCCCTTAGTGACACAGCTACAGCATTTTTTTTTCACTTCCGTAGACCGGAGCAGTTTAACATTCTTTGCTATGTATTTGTTTAACCATAAATTCCATCTTCCTTTTTCTGACATTTTTAAACTTGTTTTCTTTTGTTACATTTTTTTAAATTTTAAAAACTTTTTTATTTTTACATTTTTAAAACTAGGGGCACTAAGGGGTTATTTTATTTTATTTACGGGGCTTTGATACTTAGTATTTCTGTGTAGAATACAGTATTGTGCTCAGAGATACTTTGTATCAGTTTATAAACGCAGCTGGCTAGCTTTATACAAAGCACAGCTGAACTGCTGCCGGCTGTGTGACTGTCACAGCGCGGCGATCACAGCAACCAGCCCTCGCTGTGATCACAGAACTGTGACCACCTAATCTGCTGTTGAGGGTCTGCCTCGGACCCCAAGGAACCTATCAACAGCAGTAACTCAATGAGCACTGGTACCTTCACGGACCAGCGCTCATTTTACTGAATGACAGGATTATGCGGTCACCGGTTGTTATATAATTGAATGTTGGTGACAGAATAATCCCATCATCAGTTGAGTAAAGCTTAAAACATATCAAATAAAAAGGGCAGGACAGTACATAAAATTACTCTATTTGGTAAGACACCTCAAAGGTAATCTCATCTTTTTTGTTTTGTTTTTGCAAATGAAGAGACATGTTGGTATTCAGGTGGTTAAAACATGGAGCTTGGTATTGGTGTACTAGATTCATTTACATACAGGTCATACACAAAGGGGGGTGGAGAAAAGGGGTTAATGCTAAGTTCACATACAGTGGGAGGATGGAGATGCAGGAGTTAATGTGCAAATCTGCAGGATAAGGGAGGTAAAGGGGTTAATATACAGGTAACATGCAGAGAAAGCCAGGAGATCAGATGTACAGGAGGGGAGGGGAGTGAAAGGGTTAAAGAAACAATCCCACAGTCAGTGAAAGTCTTTTCCTGCTGATCCATTCATTTATAATCTATCAATTATTACAATTATTTTTTCCTTTGTTGTAAGAGGAAGGGGAGGGATCAACAATGTAAACAGTAGTATGTCTATATTTGTGATCACCCATGACCAATCATCCATGTGATTGGTCATCACATGGATTACAGGGTACTGAGCTGCTTGGAGTGGCTCTTTACACTGTGTCTGTGAACCAAGCTATCAGCCATTAACTAGAACAATGACTGCCCAATGGTGCTTTATCCAGTGCCGTTCATAAATAACACTGGGTATATAACTGTTCACCACTTTATAAATAAACTATCTACTGTCCAATATCTACTGTATAAATACACATCTTCAGCTCTTCCCATTGTTTAGAAGTGCTCTGATCAATTACTGGACCCAAGCTTTATAGCAGCTGTGTCAACAAGCATCAGCAATAGTTTGACCTTTTAAAGGAGAACTATGGGGTCAGTGTTTTTCCCCATAGTTCTCCTTAGGGTAACAGGAGGACACGAGTCCTCCCATTACCCTAAGCTCAGTATACTGCGAGCTACAGCTCGCGTATACTGAGACGCCGGGATCCGCCCAGCTGCGTGAGTGACAGCTGGCACTGCCTTACTAGAGGCAGTGCCAGCTGTACCCGCCCCCTCCCCCGTCCGCTCCACCAGTCAGCGCTGGCAGATCGGAGCGGGGAGAGGGGAATCCAGCCCCTCCCCCTGTCACGGCAGAGAGCCGTGACAGCATAGAGAGGTGAGCGAACCAGGTTCGTGTTCGCTCACCTCCCGATCTACCGAGCCGACCTGTGACAGTCTCATTGTCACAGGTCGGCTAGAACTATGAGGTGAGTGAAAAGCACTCACCTCATAGTTCTCCTTTAATATAGCTGACCTTTGACATTTATGGCACTGTGCTGCCATCCAGAGTTTGCAGGCAGAAATGTTTTCCTCATAGAAACTGATGCAATTTAGAAGGGCTAACTATGTAGTAGGAAGGGCTACTAACTATACCTACCTCCTCACATCAGCACTACAACATCAAGAATAAACATTTTGGAAAACTTGGTATTACTGGTTTGACTTCACATTCTTTCAGGTGTACCATTCACTTATGGAAACCGAATTAAATTAGAGAAGATCGTCTAATCCTTAAGGATCTTCCTTTCCCACAGTTGTTCCTATTGTACCAAACCCCTCTTTCCTTTTCCTCTTCCTTTATCCCTCTCCTATCCCCACACACATCCTTGCCCCTTCCCCACTTCATCTTCCTATTCTCCCCCATCTTTTTTCTTTTCTCAGTGATTTTTCTCTTTGTCTACTATACATCACCTGCTTTTCCATCTTCCCCCGCAGCTAATTTAATCCTCATTATCTGAGTTGCACTACGGGCATGCAAATACCTAGTTGATAGTGTCCAAGGTTTGCCTTCTATGGGTGGCCTACCCTATCACTTTTCCCTATGACCTTCATGAGGTCAACAAAAGTAACAAGTTATCCACACAACCAATTCATTTTTAACCTCCATTCTGCAGATTCATGGGGGTCAGCCCAGAGTCCTTTCTCCCCCAGCATTTAAAAAACACAAGAGTTCAATTATAGAGTGTTAAGGTGTTCTCAGTGGGTAATTATGCAACAGTCATAAAGGAAGCTAGCTTCACATTGATTTTTTTTATAGAATTACTCCGGAATAATTTGTTTTATAACAGAGGTTTGTATGAGTTAGGATGAAGCAATTTCTTCTGGCTTCAGGATTTTGAAGCTGCATAATTTTGGCACTTGACCTGCATGCACTTAGTATGGAAGCTGTTGGTGCAGAATTAAGTGATTGTAAAACAATATGAGTGTTAAAATGTACAGTGTATATGTATGTATATATATATATATCTAGATAGATATCTATATATATTTACTTTCATTGGTTCAGATTGGCACATGGAGATCCTGTGATCCTGGAAATTGCTATGCTGCTCAACTCCATCTAGTGGTGGTAATGCCGTAGGAACAGCATTTGCCCAGCTTTATGCTGGACAGAAGATTTATAAATAAGCTCCATAGTGTATGTGTATTT